AAGTTATACATGTCTTTCCCTCATTGTCTTCTTCCTCTGCCCAGCCAGTAATTTCCACAAAACTTAAGAACTTCACACCCCTTTGTCAAATCTGGTTAAAATGATCTAACAAGTTCAGAAGTTACAGTGACAGACAGACTATATGGGTGTGTAAGTCTTGTTTTCTTTGGAAAATAGATTGGGGGGAGGAAGCAAACCTGCAAGGTAGGTTTACAGGCTGTACGTATTAAATATACCCCAACTCCAAAAGTATTGACCCAGTTTAATTAAATCTAAATCGGAGCTGCAACAGTCCCACCACACCCACAGGCATTCAGTGTTATCCCTTCCCTTGTACTGGCACTTGTGCCAAAAATCAACCTGGGGAAAAAAAAAAAAAAAAAGCAGTTAGCATTTGGCGCAGGCAGCTCCGGAGCCAGCTCACTGCCTTGTCACATGGACACCGCTACCACGTAAAAGGAACGCGCAGGATTGTGGCAGACGCAGCTGCCATGGTGCTACACATTTGGTACTTCACAGTATACAAGATCCAAACCCAAAAGCACCTAATACTGGACATAAAGCTCAGAACCTCATTAGTACCATATCCAGTAATGTGCCGATGTTATAAAGAAGCACATGTGCACTAAGATAGTTATTATTCTGAGAAGAACAGAAACAAGGGAAAAAAAGCTAATATGTGATAGTTCTGAGGTTGACAGTTTTAGCTGCATTCTGGACAAGATTTTTTTTTTCCTTTAAGCAAGTGTCTAACCTTATCTTCCTCCTAAAACAGTAGCCAAACCTTTACCCACAAGGAAAAAAAAAAAAAAATAGCACTATAAGCAAACACAGGAATATTTCAACACAGACATCACCCAGTCCAGTTTTCCTTTTGGGTAGACCACTGTCCTAAAGAAAATGAAAGGACCCATCTATTCTGTATCCTTCATGCAGAATTCCAAAACCACAGAAAAAACCTCTGGCAACCCCCCCTGTGACTGGGGAAAGATCAGGCAGGAGAAGGTAAAAGAGAAGTAGCACAGTGTAGCCAGAGTGGCTAATTTAGATGGAGGGAGGTGTGAACAGCAGAACATAAGGCAAAACATCTTGGGAAGTATATCCTGATGACATCTTATCTTGGCTGCACAACACAGTGAGTTTGGGGGAGAAAAATTTTTTATCTGCAATCATTTATGATCGCCCTTCCCCACTAATCAGAATACAGGTACACAATCATTGTTTATCAATCTATAATATAGATAGTATGATTATGCATTCATTAGATATACTACATATAAAAAATACATTAAAATAAGAATTGCTTCACGATATAAAACAAAGCTTTATATGTTTTTTAAATCCTTACAAGGAACCTCTGATGGAAGATTTTTATATAAACATTTTTTTTTCCTAGTGATCTACTTATTAATAACAGGACTTCTAACTTAATTTTTACCTAGTGGTGAAAATGTAACAGCTGTTACACAGTTGCAAAACACTGTCTACTTATGCAGCATGAAATAATAAATAAAGCCCAAGACCTAGTACACGTTTTACTAAGCAATCTACTTCAATGATATGAAACAACAAGAAGTTCCAAAGATTAACTGTGCACTACATTATCAACTCTGTTCCATGATATTTGCACTTGTAAGTACTGTGCTGTAACATGGAGGGAAGAAATTAATAATAACAAATAATATTTTTCATTTAATCACAGCTGCACTCACACTACATAATAATCTATTTTTACAACAAATTTAAACCTGAGTTTAATAAAAACCCTTTAGTAATAACTTATACTGCTGTTTTTGTACAGCCTTTTTAAAGATGATCTACATTGCTTGGGAATAAAGGTGAAAAAAGTCACCACTGACTTGTGTGGTATAGTCTAACCCTAGTATATTGGCTTATAATTTAGTAGCATTATTCGTCATCCTTTACAGTAACAGCTCTGCACAAAGTGATCAAAGTCACAGGTAAAACTAGCATTAGCTTCTAGAGATAATGGATCAGACCTTGCAAGTTCTGAGATAGGAATAGGAACTGCACTAGAGACACCCCAAATCTAAATATAACACTAATAACAAAAGACCCTAATGCTACTGACACATTTTGAGGCAAGTCAGACCTAGCGCAACTGACCTTCAAAAATGCAAGTAAAAAGCTAGCACTGATCCATATGGAACAGTAATTTCAGTGAACTGTGGAACTTGACTTTGTCACAATTTTATCACCACTGAGTGGTAAACAGCAATGAACAATGTAAAAAAAAAAAATGTTTAGGTAAATGTAGAGGTTCACAAAACGCCAGAGTAAAACAAATAATATGGAGCTTCATATTTTAACAGAGAAAGTTTCTGCCTGTATCTTTAGCAAATTAATAACATATGAACAGTTTGAGACAGGCAGTCCAACGTAAAATTGAATAATCACAGCATTTAATCCACAAGCACACCTTTCCGGATGTCTTCTATAAGTTATATTTTCATCTGTTTAAAAGAAAAAGTAAACTGTGAGGTTGAAAAATTCTATATTCTGCATATGGAACACTGATGATGAAAATCCTCAGTGCATGTCATTGAGAGGAGGAAGTTCTTTTCGTTGTTTTTTTGGGGGTTGTTTTTGGGTTTGTTTTTTTTTTTTCTTTTTTGTTTGTTTGTTTGGTTTTTTTTTTTTAAATGTCAGTATACCAGAGAAGTCATTTTAATTATATAATTACTGAAGATTTTGGAAGGTTTACACAAGACCCATAATTGGGCATAAGACATCACATCCTCTGGTTATATACACAGCAATCTGGTCTGGGTAACATTCTTTGCTCTGACCAATGTGTGCGAGGGGGGGCGGGGGAAGGAAGGGGAGGGAGGAGAGGGGGGAGGAATGGAGAATTAAAAATACTTCCTCAGATTAAATTTTCTTTACTTCATTTGCTTAAAATGTTTTGATTGCATAAAACATACTAAAATATCTATCACGATGCACCTCCGTAGTTAAAATACCTTGTTCCCGATGTGATATCCTAGATACTCAAACAAAAGACATTCAGATGACAATGAAGGCTTTTCTTTTTATTTTAAAAAGACATTTGTACATCTAAAACTGCACCACAGATCAGTCTCCTTTATCATGCCAGAGTTGTGACAGCCAATGCATAAAAAATTAAAATCCAATCCACCAGATAAGACATGCAAAATGTCTCCTTCAATCCCACCCCCATCTCGCCTTCAAAAAAAAAAAAAAAAAAACCAACCCTGCACAGACGGAGCACACGCACACTCGCACCCCAAGAGCCACCATTGGGGCGACAGTGCCAGGGCTGTGGGACCGCCACCCCCTCGCCCCCCAGCCCCGTACCCCAGCGTTAGCGACCCCGCTCCGGGCTCCATTAGGGGAGGAATCCCTCCTCGCCGCTTCCTCATCCCCTCAGACAATGGTGCTTTCCCCCATTAGCTCCAAATTGTCAACATTTTTACGCTAGGCCCCGGCCCCACCGGCGCGGGCGGACCCGCCGGGCAGGGCTGAGGCGCGGGGGGCCGGAGCCCCCGCTCCGCTCCGGCCGGGTCGGGTCGGGGGGGGGGGGCGGTGTGGGTGAGGTAAATAAATGGCCGATCGGCCGCGGCCCGCACCCCCCCGCCGGGCGCTGTAACCGAAGCCCCGTCGCCGAACTGCGCAGCAAACATTGCGCGGCGCGGCGGGCCGCGGAGGCTCGCCGAGCCCCGGGCCGCCGCCCCCGGACACCATTTCGCCGGCGGTCGGCGGGGAAGGTGTCGGCGCAAGTTGCCCGGCACCCCCCCCCCCACCCCCCCAACCCCACCACCCCCCTTCGGGCGCCGCTCGCTCCGCGGCTTCCCCGCTTCACCTCTCCCCTCCGCCGGCCCGGGGGCCCAGCCCGCCGCTCCCCGCGGGGAGACACCGGCTGCCCCGGGGGAAGGCGGCTCGCCTTCCCGCAGCCCCCGGGGACGGGGCGGGGGGATCGAGGCGCGGCGGGGTGTGTGTGTGTGGGGGGGGGGGGTGTTCGCCGCGTTCCGTCCCGAAGGGCCGCGGGCGATCGCCTCCCCCCCTGCCCCCCACCTCCCCGCAACGGGCGTGGGAGCGCGGCCGGGGAAGGGGCCGAGCCCCCGCCTCCCCCCCGCTCGGCGGCAGGGCCCAGCGGCCCCGAGTCGGGGCAGAGCCCAAGCCAAACAAAGCGCGGCCTGAGCGGGAGCCAAGGGTGAAGCAGCCTGGGCTTTTCCTGCCGGTGCCCGGCCGGGCGCGGCGGGGCCCAGCGGCGCCGGCGAACCCCCGCGCAGGCCCCCCCCGCCCCGGTCGGCGCCTGTCTTACCCCGATCCCCGGCGGCGGCGGCGGCGTTGTTCCTCTCCTGCTGCTGCTGCACCGGGCGCGGCCTGGACACTCGCCTGGGTCTCCTGTTGGCGGCTCGGACCGAGTTCATTTGCCGACTCGTGTGGGTGGCGGGAGGGGAGGGGGGGAATCCTCCGGCAACCGGTGCCTCGTCGGGCAAGGGGGGGAAGGAGGGAGCCCCGGGGCGGCCGCCTCGCAGCAGCGGGCAGCAAGGAAGGAGGGGGGGGGGGGTGTCTCCAGGCGGGGGTCCCACCGCGGCTGCCGCCTCCTCGCCGGCTCGCTCGAGAGGCAGAGGAGCCGCCGGCCGCTGGCTCTCCCGAGCGCTGGCTGTGGGGGACGTTCGCGCCGCGGCCCCCCCCTCCCCGGCCCCCCCGAAAAAAAAATCCCTCTCTTAAAGGAGCCCCGCGGTCCTGCCCGTCTCAAGCCCGTCGCTGCTCCGTGGCAGGAGGAGCCATTGACACTGCCAGAGACACACACACTCGCGGGGAGGCGGGGGCTGGCGGCCGCACTCCACCAATCGCCGCCTCCCACACAGCCGGCCGGCGGCGGCGCCGCCAATCCCCGCGCCGCTTCTATGCGGGGAGGGGCGGGCGAGCGGCGCGGCGCGGGGTGGGGTGGCGGAGCGGGATATAAGGGTCGGGGCGGCGGGGAGGAAGGGGGGGGATTGGGTGCGCGGTAATGGCGGGGCAGAGGCCTTGGGACTGGTGGTGGCGTGTGGAGGGGCCGCGGGGCCTCGTCGCCTCGTCGCCTCGCCTCGTCCTACCGACTCGGCCGGGGAAGGAGGGGCGGGCTCTGTGAGGGCGACCCGGGCGCCGCCGGGCCCTCGGCGCAGCCTGTCCGCGGGCGGGAGTGCGGAGGGGCCTGGGCGCCCGCAGCTCTCGGCCCTGGGCCGTGGGTGAGGGAGGCGAAAGCGCCGCGTTGTGTGTACGGTGCGCCCTAGTAACCCGGCCCGGGCCGCGGGTGACGGCTCCGGTCGGTTTCCACGTCCCGGCTGCTTCCTTCCTGCCTGGTTTGTTAAGCACTTTCTCGCTCGGGGAATGGATGCGTTCCTTGGTCAGCGTGCACACTCATGTTTGCGTTCCCTTTTGCTCATGCAGCAGTACGCTGTCTCTCTTGGGCTGGCAGTTTTGACAGTGTGTGAGGCTTCTGCTTTGCAGTATTTGTCCTGTTGGTGCTCAGCCGGTGGTTTGAAAGCGCAAAAAAAAAAAAAAAAAAAAATCACTGAAGTTGGTTGTGCTTTTTTGGTTTTTTTGTTTTGTTTTTTTTTTTTTTTTCTTTTCAGAAATCACTTAATAAAATGGATGGCAAAATCCAAGCTGTAAGGAAGATCTCTTCCCTTTGCAGGGTTGTTCAGGAGTCTGCTTCTAATGCTGCAAAGGTGGGTTTGTGTGTAGTCCTGCTTAAACTGAGCACTGGAGTCTGGAGAACCAGGGCCTGTGTCTACCTGAAGAGCAGAAGTGTGTTATCTGGTATAAAATGTAAATAAACTGTTGTAATTAAAACTGCTTTAGGCAGGGGCTTGTTCCAAGCTGACAAACGAGGGTATAATATAATTTTAGGAATTAACAGCTTTAAAAAAATAAGCTTAAAAAATGTTTATGCTTGTGTTTCTCAAGTAAATGATAGTGAAATTGTACTTCTAAGTTCATATCAGACCAGAAATAAATGCATGAGAAATCTTAAAGTAACTGTTAAGGAGCATTTCTGAGACTTAGCATGCTGTCATGAGGAATGACTGGAGAAACAGTGGAAGATTGTTTTCCATGCCTGAGAAAAATAATTCTTACCACCTTCTCTAACAGGGGAAGAAATAGTAAAGTTAAGGCCTTGCAAAAGAACTTAATAGGGAAACAGAATAAATGTCATCCTGTTTGGGGTCAGTTTCTATCATAATAATTACCAGTGTACTAAACATTTCTTAGAGCTACACAATTACATGTATTTATCACAAAAATATTTTTTTCTTCTCATAGCATCATCGTGAAACTGCTTTAGCTCTTGACTGGGAAGAATTACCGTATCCAAGAACTGTGCTGAACTTACTGTGTCATGGTTAAAGATTTTCACACCATTAAAAACCCATGATCTTTAAAATAGTGTTTTAATAGTTTAATTGCATTTCTATGCAGCTGTTCTAGTTGTGCTCTCTTTACCAAGATCTAGCAAATGAATTTTTAATGTCACAAGGTTACCTAAAATTGCTCAATATCAGCGCGCTCCAAACTTTTAGTACTCTATCTAAATCTTTGAAAACCTGTTCAAGGGTCAACATGGATGAGAAGCTAATTTTCATCTAAAGCATATAAGAATCTGAAGCTTCTGATATTAGAATAACAGGGCTGAGAACTTGAATCAGCAGGCTTTAGCATTTCTTAAAGTCTTGAAGTTGAGCTAGTTTGAAACCCAATGATTCTTGGCCTAAAAAGCACTTTTTGTAATTAAGCTTCTTAAAGTGGTAACTTGTGTTAGGGACATGATGGTGGGAGTTAGGCAAAACTTACTGTAAATGGGTAAAAATGTGAATCTGTATAAGCAGGTCCAGTATGTAGTCTCACTGACTTAGCCAAAAAGCAGTGAGGGCAATCTGTAGAATGTTACGCAGAAGTTTGTGAAAAATGCTCTGAGTTGATACGATGAGAACCTCCTATGCTGAGTAAGACAAACTTGATGAAGTTAAATACTGGTGCAAAAAAAGGGGGATAACTGTAAGCATTCATTGGTAGCTTACAAGGCATGGAGTAAAGAAATAGTTACAGTGCTCTTCTCTAATATTCTCGGCAATGCTTTAGAAAGCCAGACACTAGAAAGGTGGAAAATTCATCAAAACAGTTTTGACTAGAACTCTGTATCTTTTCTCACAACAAAATTAAATCTATCCAGTCAGATTTATGATGACTGGGACTTGATCATCATAATTGCAGCTTTGTAAGTCAATCTTTAAAATGGTATACTTGGCTGTCCTGTGCCTCTGTTGTTGCTGCATAGCCTCTGAGAGGATAAACACTGTTCTGTGATGAAAATGACACTGAAAGCGTAAGCTAATATTCAGACTTCATTGTGTTGACCACTGTGGTGATGCTTTAAGCCATCCTGTATGATGTGCTAATAAAACATTCCTGAATGTGGATGCTATTTATACTGGCAAGATAATTTTGCCTTTGTCAAGACAGATTTTTCTTTATTTAAATTGGGAAGAGAGGGAATGGAAAGTGGAACTAAACTATACTGTGATTTTTTTGCATAATTGTCTACAGCATAAATGCTTGCTAGACTGGTTACATTGGCCACAAATCACCTTTTGGTGACCCATGAACAGAAAAGCATAAGACCTGGGTGAAGAGTTTACTGGAAGCATTTATAGCATAAGCAGTTTGGGCAGAGTTGTCAAGTGGTAGCTCATCATATGAGACTATCTTCTAAGCTGCACTGAATTTCAAATGTATATGTATTTAAACGTTAATGATGCTTGGTTCTCTGTATGTGCATGAAGAGTTGGCTGCCGCTTTGAAGACATTACCTTCCTGCACGGAGGAAGGGATGCCACAGAGTGCTTAGTGATAATAACAGTAACTTGTTAATTATGTGTTAACTTAGAATAGTTAGAGCTTTGTAGCTAATGAGGCAGCTTCATCAAGAGTAGTGCAAATTGTAGTGAAGGAAACACTGATATAGGGCTTCTTATTTGTTTGCAAGGGTGGTGTGCAGAGACAGAAGAGTGGCTTTGATGCAGCTGACTTGCTCTAAAGTGAAGAAGGCATTTAAAACAACTTGAAGATTTGATCAAGGTAATGGAACAGTTAAGTATTCCTTTTCTAGAATCTCAGTAGAGAATACATGAGCCACTAGAGGTGGTGGAGCCACAGAATAAGCAGGATTGGGAAATGGGTGTGGGGCAGTGCAAACTATTAAGTCAGCAAGGTTGATTCAGGCCAGGATGATCTGCAGGAATCACCACTGTTTTATTCTCCCTAATGTAAACATGCACTAGCAACCTGAAAAGGCTTGCTTCAGGGATGGTTAGAAATGCTTTGAATGTGGGACAGATTCAGGAAAGTTATGATCCTTACTTGCCCTGAGGATATGAGTATTGCTTTAACAGTTGATCAAAACAAGTCCAGGATAATAGAATTCAGTGGATGGTGATCTGTAGATTACTTCTAAGGGGCTCACAAAAGATAAGTAAGAACAGACTTCAGCCTTGCATATGATGGCCTAAAGTGCTATTTAAAAATTGTTCAGAAACTGCAAATAGAAAAAAAAAAAAAAAACCAAACCTGAATCACTGTCTTGCAATTAAGTGGAAAATGCACAGTGTTCTCACTAGCTTTTGCTTCCTAATATTTGTGAGAGAACAAGAAATATTTTGAGCACTGTTGCAGTTTGCTACACAAAGCCCACCGCAGAGCCTTTAGCTACAGCTTGTGGATTTGAACAAGAAATACAAGTCATCAGTTTTTATCGTGCTTTTTAATCAGTTCAAGTGGCTTTGCAAGGGAGCCACATGTCTATCCCTCTCCTTACAGATGAAAGTGAAGCAAAAGGGGCTGAAATGGCTTGCCCAAGAGCATTTACAGGCTATTAACAGGGCCAGGAATAGAACCCAGGGTATAGGAGTCCTTATCTAAGGCTTTCTCTACAGTGTCACATTACTGCTTTCAGAAGCATAAGACTTTTGCCTATTATTTCTAACCATCTCGTAAGCTGTTAATATATCCCTGGACTAAAAATACTGCATTGAAGATTTAGGACTGACCCAGTGTGGACTACTGACTTTAAATTCTTTAAACCTAGAGGGTTGTTTCTTATAAGCTTGGAAGAAGTGAGACTTTCAGAAATAGCTATACCTAGAACTGGTTGAACTTGCTTGCTCTGCAGCTTGGAAATATTAATGCCATTTTATTGCGATTTCTCTGGCCCTCAGTTCCTCTTAGTTGTGTTTTACATCCCATCTAATGCCACTAAATCTTCCCACTCGTACAGAAAAAGACTCTTAAATCTCCCGTCTGTTTACCTGGAATCCATGTCTCCTGAAATCTAGCTTGATGTTAGCTGACCTTAGTCGATTACTTTCTGGGTGAATGTCTGTGGCTGGGATGTTTTCTGTTGCTGTACCAACGTCATTTCTGCAGGAAGAATAAAGACCTAAGGGTGGGAAAATGTGTTTCCTATAAGCTCACATGACACTTGAAACATGTTTATCTAACATGTTAATTTTGATTCTGCCCTAACAAAAGCTCTCTGGAAGTCTGTATGATACTTCAGTTCTCATTAATTTTTTAAATAAAAGCAACTGCAGACAAAAGTCCTGGAGGGATGATGTCTGAGTTTTAAAGCATTTATTGGATGTCCTGGTAGAAATTTCATAACCAGATAGATAGAGGTACATATCACCTACCTTCTGGATTTCTTGGGAGTATTTTCAGGGGAGGGAGAGAGGGGGTATGAAACTATTTCCATCTGAGGTTGTCAGCTGATGGGGAAAAGCAGCCAGTTTTGTGGTGTTGGATCACCAGCAAGGAGGGGAGGTGCGGGGTCGGTGGGGTGGCTCTGTGGCTGCTGCCGCGGAGCTCTGGGTGCTGGCCTCTGGCAGGGCTGTCACAGGGACCTGCCCGTTAGTCCCTGCAAGTCAGATGCAAGCTTGCAGTGGGGCTCGGTACTGTGCTCACTTGTGCAGCCTGGTGTGCTGTACATGGGAGCACATGGGAAAGGGAGTCAATAGCTACCTTTGTGTCAATGAAATTCTGAGAAAATGATATGGTCAGTCCCAGCTATAAATTGGCAGGGTAAGAGGTCTGGAGCTCTGTGGAAGGAGCAGCAGTTTATACTAGAGATGAAGTCTGAATGGCAATTTTAAGGTTGCATTGGGGCAGAGATGTCACTGTGCAGACGAGCCTACAGTCAATGACAGGAATTTATGTTGAGGAGGCAAAGTGGATGATACCTGTTGCATGGGGTGGTGGAACTGTCTCGAGCATCCACTCTACATTTTCAGCCTTGTTTTCATCATGACACCCGCTGCACTCCACTGGAGTTCCCAAGCTTGCCCCTCAAGATTGTACCAAATTTAAATGTTTCGGATAGCCTGAACTGATACAAAGCTTCATTGCTAAAATTAATTAAACTATGTTGGGTATAAAATAGCATGATGTCCTAAATGATATCTCTAGACACAATATAATAAGAAGATAATATTTTGAGTCGGTGATTATCGTTCATTAAAGGTTTGCTTCTCACTACTTTTCAAATGTGCATGTACAGAGATAAAAAAGCAGGGGCTACACCTTATACTTGTAGTCTTTCCAAGTCTGTGGCTCAGATTTAAGAAATTTCCCCATATCTTGCTATTAGTTCCTAGTTTCAAATTTGTCTTGGACTCAATTTTTACTTCTTGGTGTCTACTTTTGTTTTGCTCATTGCATCTGCAATGTGACCATATGACAAGTTTTGTTGTTAGAGCTGGAGTTTCTTGCCCCTGAATGTGGCCAGTATGTTGTTTATATTGCCTTGGAGAGGATAGAGCCTGAACAAATCTTTCAACATAATAAATTGAGTCAGGCCCAAAATGAGAAAGGTTTACAAGGAGTACCTCCAATACCACCAACTGGAAAAAACAATCATTTAATACTAAGAGGCTGGAGTTATATGAAGGCCTGACTCCAGATTTAGACCTACCAAAGAAAAAAAATGGCTGCTTTAGGAGAGTTTTTACTGATTGGCGAGGTAGTTCTTCCCCAAAAATCTCAGTGGGATTCTGAGCTCCCCAATTTTACAAAGCACTCATGGTCCCTGATGCTTATCCAAGACAGATCTAGAGTGGCAGGAGCAGTTAAGGACACCTTGTTCCATCTTTGTTAGGAGCAGCTAAACCTGAAATGAGCACCAGAAATCCCAGTCTTCATTTTCAACATGTCAAACTTGGCAGCATTGTAGAGCATCCAAAGGGTGCTTCTTAAATGGGATTCAGTATCTCCATAGAGAGGAGGGTCAGCAGTGAGAAGAGATACTTCCTTCCGTCCTGGAAACAAGAAATTGAAAATGTCTGTAGTCTCGCCGGTAGCATGTGAATACATGTGGTACAGTTGCCTTCACTTCAAATCTTGAGAGCAGGTAGGTGTGGGTGCTGTCGGTATTATCTGGCAATTTTACCTACCCAACCAACAACTGATTTTGACAACTGATTTTGTTTACTGATGGGAACAAGTTCTTCATGCTAAAAAGAGATAATATGAGAAATACTAATTTCTTACTTTGCTGCTTGGTAGACCAATGTCATTTTAAATGTCCTGCTCCAAAACTGTATCCTTGTCTACTTAAATATAGAAAGGTTGTGAAATTAATTCCCATGAACCCACTCAGAAAAAAATAAAAAGGTGTAGCACATCATATGTATGTCCTGACAGTTTGCTTAGTCTCTAGGTCAGGCATCTAGAAGAGAGCAGTTTAGGTCATTTTTCTCCATTTTGCAGTCTAGGTCTGTCAGTCATGGTTTATCTGATAAATGGGGAAAAAGGTCTATTTATCCTTGTGACTGAAAGATACCTCCCCAGAAGGGGTTTTGGAATGTCCTGAAGAGTGTTTTGCAGTTAGGGTCTAAACTGTCATTGCCATTAAGAAGCAATCCTGCTCTTCACAGGCATGTTTTTGCAGCACCTACCCTGTCCCCTGTTCTGTCAACTAACGTTTATGCATCAGCATAGTTAGAGAGATCAAGGAGGTAATCCGACTGCAAACTAATCCAACTGGAAGCGCAGCTTTTTTTCAGGCACATATGCAAGTATTGGGGCAGAGAAGTGGTGGGAAAACATGGCCCCTAAGTGGCGAAGGAAGCTTGCATACAGATTGGCTTCCTGTGATCCTGGAAGCAGGCCTTTAGCATTTCCCTGGGCCTTCGGGTGAAAGTCATCTTTAATTAGACGTGTTACTGGAATGCTCTCATATGTAGCTGCTCTGCTGTAGGATCTGTTTGCACTGCTGCTGAAGCACCACATTATGTTTCTTTGATTGAGCTATTCATTTAAGCAGGTGGCAGCATGTACTTAAACGATGACCAACTTGGAATCACACAGCAAGTATAGACTTTAAGCTATGTAATGACTTAAAGCAGTTCTGCTGAGGGCAAGTGGCAGGTAGGTTGTCAAGGAATGTCTTACAGGTCAGTACCTACAGATGACTTATCTCCAGTGCTGCGTGTTTTTTCCAGTTATCCACATGGTGGGGACATTTTTGCTCCCATTCGTACTCTGTTTTACATGTAAACATTCCTATACCTCAGCAGGGTCAGCTAATCAACAACAGAAAGTATTATGGTAAGGATAACTGACAAAATAGAATGGATTTTCAGGGTAGCATGCTGCAGGTATCTCCTTTTGAATCTTTGCTTTGCTGTCACCCTAGGTTATTCTAGATCTAGAAGGTTTTCCCATCCCATCTTTATCACATCAGTCAAAGGCTTGGTTGTGATCCTTTTGTCTCCCCAAAGACCCTATTCCTCTGGAGAGATCTGACCTGTGTCCTCTTGTCCTCAGTAGTCAGCTCTCACCTTCTCTGGACACACCGTTCTTGATGCCTTTCACTATGGCACTGCTGGCTGAAGCACAGCCTTTTAATCTCGGTCCAACTTGAGACTCCAGGACTTTGAGCAAAGGCTGTTTTGTGTGGACTATTGATCTGTTTCAGGGTGACAGTCTTTGTAATGAGTCTTGAGTGTTTATTTGTCACTAACTAGCTAATCTGGAGATGATGGGTGTTCATACTTGCCAAGGTGCGTGGTGGAATAGGAGTTGCACCCCTGGAAGACTCAAGGATTTGGCAGTTGAAGGGAACTGAGTGCTTGCATTGCTTCCTTAGCAGAGTGTGTGGTATATGCCCTATAAGTGTGTATTCCCTAGTCTTGAGTGTGTGTTGCCCAGCATGTGAACGTAAGTACCAAAAGATATGTGACCTTTTCATTATGCAAAAGACATAAAAACAGGAATTCACCCAAATCGGCTGATAAAGAATAACTGCTGCATATGGAAAATTTTCTCCTCAGTTGCCTATAACTAATGTCTCGGGATCTCATCAGTTTTATGCTGACAAGCAGAGGCAGAGAAGAGATCATCCATTCAGAAGAATGGATGTGTAAATGAGATCAACAGCACTGTAAAATCCTCTCCACTGGCTATTGGTGGTGAGCATTGGTGTGATCTAGGCCTTGAAGAAATTTATGTAGTATAGGTAAATGCATATTCACTGTAAGGACAGCTTACAAAACAACTGGTTCAAATATGTTAATTAAAGTCTGTTTTTCCTCCACTTGTCAGTGTCCAGCACTACAAACTCGGATTTACTGAGTCACTGAAAGTCTTATATCTTCTCGTTCCTCAGCTTAAGTTTTTATGGTTTTCTTCACACCAAAGCAGAAGAGGAAAATGGAAAATCAAGATTATCATGTATTTTCAAGTCTCAGCTAAGATGAGAAGGAAAACTTGAGTAAGATGAGACTAGTCTTAATATTTTAGAGAATTTTCCTATTTGGAATGGGATAAAGGGAAGTGATGTGTGTGCTGTTTTGTGTGTACAGGATATTGACAGTTACTGCAAGTGCATGTTCGCAATACATAGACTAGCTGTCAGTCTAGAAGTTTATAAATGTTCAACCTTTATTGTTTGTTTTGTAATCTTAATTTCTTAACAGCTGATCTTTGTCTTCTTTTTTTATCAAACTGTGGTCTTATTACTGTGTATGATTAAATAGATTACTTTGTCTTGTAACATTGCTTGGCAAAACCAGGCCCATTTTGATGCAAGTTGGGGTTTTTTTATATTTACATCTTTGTAGATAGCATTACTTCTGTGACCCACTTTCAGTATGGACTAGCATCATACTTTTCCTCAACAAAAAATGGAGTCGGGCATTTAACTTAATTTTTCTCAGAGCTTTGTGATGCGGAAAATAACTAAGAAGGGAAAGCATCAAATCAGATTTTCTCTTTATGAACTCTGTTTCAACATGACATTAGTTGCAGTAGTCAATATTGGGCAGCACTGGGCTGTGGCAGCCCAGCGCTGGGTTTTTGCATAGCTCTGAACGTGTTTGGGTGGATAGGGGAGGTTCAGCTATCACAATCATAGAGTTTCCACAGCCTGCATGAGTGTCTTGACAGCTAGCTGCGTTCTGTTGCAAGACACTGTGTTGGACTACGTATATGTAATATTTTCATACTCAACCTGTGAGGTGTGGGAGAAAGAAGGTAGCAGTCTGATTTATGAGTCAAATTTTTTGGAGGTGGGAAAGAGTCATCAGTGAAGGAACATAAAAAGATGAAGATTGGGGAATGGAATGTTTGGCGTTGGTTTTAATTGGAATCATCCTGTTCATCACTCATATTGTGAGATAAAAGGGGAAAAATATCCATTACTATAGCACACTCGGAGGGGAAATGTTTGTATTATAGTTAGTGAGCAATTCTAATTGGCCTGCCAAATATAATTGAATTGAAATACAGACCTTATTCCAATGATAATTCCCTTACTGTAGCTTATGAAAGATATACAGCTGGCATTATATTTATCTCTAATCTGTCTGCAATCTAATGGCTTTTGTCTAAAATTCAGACTACTATTAATTCATTATTATCCTTGGCAATTACCTCTGTCAGCCAAAAAATTAATAAAGCCTGGTCAATAAACCTTTCTCTCATACACAAGCTTTCTTGTGCCTCTCCCCTTGAAAAGGTAGAAAGATAGCACTCCTGTTGTGGTCTGGAAGAGCAACTGTTGTAAACCAGAGAAGGAAGTTGACTGATCTCTTGAAGAGCTCGGAGCTGAAGGTTCTTCTGGTTTTGGGGGGACTTTGTTCTTTTCAAGGAGGCACCAGCTACTGAACTTCTCTGCTCGTCTTCTCCTAGGTGTGGTGCTGTGACATGACAAGAGGTATGTGCTGCCTGTGATTGCAGCTAGTCATGTCAAGTGACCTGTGCTCTAATCTTCTTTCCAGCAATGCAAACCAACTGATGTGACCGATGCTGTTACTTCACGTTACTGTAAATTAGATTAGAATCTGCTGCTCCTGGATTTGTTTAATTAGCTGGCAGTATCTTTAAAATGCCTTCTAGAGCATTTGGACTGTGATGTGAAACATGCATCATTTTTAAGGCTTAAACCTTACTAAATGAAGTGAAACAATCTGAAATCCTTCCACATGTCAAGGGGAAAAGTTTAAGGTTTAAATTCAGATGGTTCTACATTTTAAAACTTAATAAATGTCAGGATAAGTGGGTACAAGTAACCCTTTCACCCCCACCCAATTGATACAAAAGACTTTTCTCACTTTACATAAATGTATCTATGTAGATTGTAGCTTCCTCTGAACCACTTTTTTTTTTTGGCTTCTGACTAGAAAACATGCAAAGAGATGTTCCAGGGTAAGTACTTTGAATTACTATCAAGCTGCCAGATGTTTTACCTAAAAATAGTAGTAGGGAAAGAAAATTCTTAATTGATTGCTTTCCTTTTCTGAAATACACAGTAAGGCAGTTTTGACATTATTCTGTTCGGGTCATCAAATTCGCATAAACCATTGTACTACTATGCAAGACATACATTTTAGAAGAATGAAAAGTGCAGGAAGTTTGAATGATATGTGAACATAAATTTACTCATCTTTTATATAATGCCTTCTTGAGGTGCTGACACTTTCAGTACCTTAATTGTTCATAATGAATACTCTTGTATAAAGCATTTCAGAGGTAATTTTCTGAGGCCAAATAATGACTAAAAAGTTATTCACTGAAGAACAGTCAATATTCTGTATCCAAAAGTAGACTTACAAAATGGGAAATAAACTGACATAACAGGCAAGAAATTTGCTTATATGAAAGAATCTGCCCTTTTACAGGTTCAGTGTCCTAAAAAAGAAGCCACAGAAGTGGTGTGTTGGCTGGTGCAGAGACAAAATCATTATGTTCTAATCATATGCCATTGGAGGAAAGGAAAAAACCAGCTTTGGGCAAAATGTCCATACTGCTTGTAACTGAAGTCCAAGATGTAGTCACCTCTGCTGCAAGTAATATGCACTTTTGTCCTATATGCTTCAGGATAGATAATGCTAATCAGTTAAGATAAGGTATGCTTAAAGAATATATTTTAAAATAAGAAAAATAAATTAGTCGACCTCTCAGGCTGCTTCTGGGCAGTAGATTTTAAACAACTTGTCAGATATTTCTTGGCTGTTACAGCCTCGCATAAGAGCTTTTCCTGGTTCATAAAAAAAAATAATGTGAAATCAATAATGGTATTTAAAAATTCACCGACCATTTCCCATCCAGAGAAGGTCTCACTTGCAGAGTGCCACTAATGCAACAGGCAGATTGGGAAAACCACACAGACTTGACCTTAATGGTAAACGAAAGCGCAGTGAAGAAAGGTGCTTTCGGAAGCAACCAGGAGGAAGACCTGTCTGCTCCCCCACAAGAGCAAACCTTTAAACAGAGCTGCTGTGGGCATCAGCTTGCAAAAGTCCTTTGCCTGAAGATGTAGTCTAGATGCTATGCTGACTTCCAGCTGAAGGATACAAGATGGCATGAACAGCAACAGAAAATTAACATCATGATGAAAACACCAATAGAAACACAGTCAAATTAAGTTCCCTATGGCGTATTATAACCATATGACTTGCCAGACTTCAGACAGTGAAAAGGAAATGGTTGCTACTTCAGGTTGCTTCATTCCACTATACCAGAAAACCTGGGTTCATTGTGGAAATCAGAAGAAACAAGACATATAATTTGATTTATTTGCTAGTTTCTATTTTTAATAGAAGCACAAGCAGGAGTAATACAGTACATGGTGATCTTGCAGCTCTATATTCATTTAGGCCACTTCTCTGCTGAAGGAGATACATTGTAGTTACAAGTTGTACAAGTTAATACAACAGTAATTACCCACAGTTGCCACATTTGATCTGTGAAAATAAATAGGATTTGTTGGTGTCTCCTCTCTTCCCCCGTTCTCCCCAAAGCAATGCAGAACTGTTGTCCAACCTCTGGCATGGGGTGTTCAGAAATAGCAGGAGGCAGCAGCAGAAGAGCAAGCCCGTGGAGTTTGGGTGCAGTGGTCTTTCCTGAAAGGCTGATTTCCTGAGCTGCGTCACCCGAGAGTGAGGTTCAGAGAGTTTGCTCAGTATTGTCCTCTCCAGACACCCCTACCCGCGCTTTCTTGGTGGCATTCTAACAGATTTTAAAATACGGTACTTTGTTACTCATGGTGATTTCCAGTTTTGGGGGTTCGTGTGTCTCACACTTCCGCAAGCTTTTTCTCTGAACTTCAGAGTTAGAAATTTGTTTTTCTATTTAGGTGAAAATTCAGATTCACATGGAAGCACTTGACTCCAGAAGCTGCAGCTTCAACCAGCAGATAGGAGATTCATGATAAAATTGGCAGAATTGTACTGCTCTAAGCACTTTCGGAGACATATGCTGCTTTTCCTACTCCTGGAAGTAGTCCCACAGACATCTCATGATTATTCACTTGAGTCATGGTTGCAGAATTGAGTTTTTGGTGTTTTAGATTCCCAGATTCCTACACTGCATATTTATGGTGTTTAAAGTGCAAACTCTAATAGAAGACCTGGCTGTTTTAAAACACAGAGGGTATGCTGTACCCAAACTCGGTGTTTTGAACTTAAACTAAATTGCCTCTTGACTTACAACAATATTTGGTCACAATGAGACATCTCCAAGGCCGAGGAGACAAAAGTTATAAAAATAAACTGGACATGGCACACTGCTATTAAAAGTTTTGTGTTTGTTTTTCTTCCTCTTGGGGTTTTCACCAGCGATATTATTGTGGTATTAGTCACTAGGTGGTGCTCTCCTACATGGTCTTCTGCATTCCTTTTTCCAGGGTGTGAGTGGCCTAGGCTGTAAGTTTTCAGCCGGAGTTTATTTTGGAAGGAAAGTATGGGAGTGAGAATGCTAGACAGCAACATCTCTCGCCCGTTTGGACTGGAGTGAATTTTTAGAGTAAAATTGCTCTAGGGAGACTGGGTATTATTTTTTTGGCTGAGATTCCTGAAATGAGAGATTGCCTGTGTGCCATTTGTGACCATCTCTGCTCCTGGGTTAATGTACTCTGTAAGAAACGTAGTGCTAAGCCTGTAGTTACAAGCAGTTTAACTGTTCTACAAGGCTTTAATATCTAATGTCTCAACAGAATAATAGCTTTTTTTCCCAGGTGTACTTTTACTGTTAAACAACTGAATTATTTTATTAATTTGTATATGCTGTACCACGAACAGATGTTAGGCAACGTGAGAAAACTTACAGTTTTCTTTCATTTGCTTTGTCTTTTTAAAATTGAGTTTCAGATTCATTCCATCAGTTGTTTTGGTTTTTTTTTTTATAGAAAAGGAAAGCAAATTCTGTCCGCAACAATCCTTTACAGAGTTCAGAATCTTAGATATGGCCTGATAAGAGAGATTTAAATATTCATTGAATACTAGAGATAGTCTGAAAATGCTAAAAATTTCTCAGTGTTTTCTCTAAATTTTCTGCAAAGCTTCTGGAACATTTGAATTAATAAGTCAGTTCAGTTTTCAGGCAAGGAAAGTTGTTTTCTTTTTCCTCACTTGTAGTATTTTTACAAGAAGTGAGGACAAGATGGGGCAGATGGAAGGAAAAAAGTGTGAAGGAATTGCAGCATCAAAATATTTTAAATTACATTATTGGTTTGAAAAATGAAAGCATTAATTGTGTAGCTTCTGCATCTAAATTTCTGGAAGTTTTAGAAATACCATTTTAGTTTTTAAAAATGCTGCTTTTATTCAAAGAGGGCTGAGAATGAAAAATACTGATAAGCACTACTAAGCGTTTTCATATGGAATCTATTTTCAGCCACATACCAGAAAATGTCTTTGTTATTTTTTTGAATGAGACCCTAATCTTGGAATGACTTTTCATTTATCAGAGCCTTTTAAGTCTGCTATTGTGTTTCCAGTCAGATCCTTTCCACTCACTTCTTTTTTCCTGTGTCAGCCTCTTGCAAACTCACCATAGGGCAAAGTTCGCAGTTATTTTCCACAAGCACAAGGATTTCCCCTCTCAGGGGTGCACTTGGGCTTTATGTGGTGGAAGCCAAGCACAAATCAATGCCAGCTCTAATTGTTTGTGATAAAGTTTCATGTGGTGTATTACATTTAATAGCGAAACCTACAATTTGTGATTTAACTTGTTAGCAATTCAGAGGCCTTTGTTTCTTACGCTGTTTAGTCAGATGAAATGGCTTAGTGGTTTTTTTGCATCACCAGCATTGGCATTAGTCTCAGAGTTGGTGTTTTTATTAAATATTTTGCTGGTGTTTTTACTAAACTTCCCACTTCAACAATAATTTAATAATGTTAAAATACCACTTCCTAGAAAAAAATTAAGTTCTGGTATCTGCAACTGAGAAGTTGGAAAACACGAGTACGGTGGGCCAAAAAAACCCACAAAGAAAAATAATTAACTCCTCTTAAAATTTCACAATTTTTCCATTTTTGGGGATTAGTAATATTGTAGCATTTAGATGCTTTGAAATATATCTATTTTAACTTACTTAAGGGTGTTCAGGTTTATTTCCATGTATTTTTTAGGCAAGAAACAGCTGAAATTCTCTCAAGGGATTAAAAAAACCCACAAAACTTGTTTGTTCTCCCCTGATTCACTATTACACATTTTATGGCTTTTGGTAGCAACAAGGGTTTGCATTTGTATCCCTGACTGAAATTTCCACCTCCCCATCCTCTGCAGTGAGGATGTGCCAGTTGTCAGCCTGGCTGCCACCTCCCAGCCTCCTGCAGCGGAGTGGAGCTCTTAATTGGTCTTGGAAAAGTGCTTTGCGATCCCTTCGGATGAGAGGCTGATGTTCAGACTGTGGTTCCTCTTATCAAACAAGCTCTTGTATTTCTCGCTGGACATTCGTTGCCTTCAGCTGGAGCTGAGGGGACCAGCAGTTATTTGTCTGTGTGGAACAACTACCATGGGCTCAAATTGCTCAGTAGCATTTTACCAGGTACCAGTGTGGAAATTTAATCAATCAGCTTGTTTAGGTAACCCATGCTACCTATTAGAGGCCAATAAACATCTGCATCACAAGATGAAAGCGTGGGCAAGGAATCTGGGGATTTTGTGCCAGTTTTGTTTTGAAACAGCCAGCCTCAGCAGAGTCAGGTCTCTGGAAAAGTGTCACCAAGGCACCAGCACAAATCAGCCGGGGCTCGAGAGGCTGCTGCGAGCGCAGGCTGGCACTGGCAACCATCCAACCCAGCGCCTCATTTTGCTTTTCCTTCTGACACCGAGATGTGACCTTTGGCTGATTCCCGTCCCGTCTCTCTGTGCTCTGCTCTCCTCCTACCATTTGATTGCTTTGTCTTTTTAGAGTTGAGCTCCCGGGCAGGGCAAGGCTGCAAGTTTGGTCTTACTGGGTGTTTGCAAAGTATGTAGCACAATAGGGCTGATCTCAGTTGAGATCTCTAGGTGCTACTGCACTACAAGTAATTGTTACTATTAATAACAAAAACAACTAGTCTTAACAGAGTGTGGAAAGGGGAATAGGTTGGTATTATTAATGTCAAGTTTAGAGTAAAAGTTGCATTTGTGTTACTACCTGTAATCCTCTGGAGAACTGTAAGCATCTCCCTGAATAGGGATCCAGTTTCTGCCCTTACCCTATATAACCTCACTGGTTTCAAAACAAGATTTAATGCCATTAGAGCAAATTGGCATGAAGTCAAGGGATTTTGTCCAAGGAATTCAGGTTGTCTTTACTTATTTTTGTAAGCATATGGCATCAGAGGATCACTGAGAAACTTACCCGTACCAGTCTTTCTTCCCAGATACCTCAGGCTTACATCAGCCCTTTTGCCTATACTACTTTCCCTTCTACTAAGTGGAAAACATCCTTCAAACGTCTTAGCATCCTTCAGGATATTTTGTACTCACCTTGCTTTATCTCATCAAGGCACAAGGGATAATTGTGTGGTCTGGTCGTTATCTGGGAACTCGGTCAGATCTCATATTCTCAGGATTGGTTATAGATTAATAATCCTCTCTGGTGTTGCTGTGGGTTAATTATTGTAACTCATCAATGGATTAGTGTATATGACTAGCATTTCATTTTATGCATTCCTCTCCCTTTTCTGCAACGTTTTCCTTTCCTGCTGTTTTGTATGAGAGTACCTACTTCCATGATAGATTGTGTCTGGAAATCCTGAAGTAGTGATTTAGGCTATCCTACTGTTGTTGTCTTTGCCTGTGCTTTAGAAATCCCTTTCCACTTTGAAATTTCTGCATTTCAAGAAAAGGAAGAAAATTCCCTCCAATATGGAACTGCTTAGATCTCGTTGGTAGTCTTCCAGTGTATCAGTCAATGCTTTGTTTCATGGTAGGTACAACTCCTCTGTAAATGTCTCTGTACAATACTTCAGGGTAACACCTAAACAAGCATGGACTCAGTGTGGCTTGCAAATTGTTTTAAGTGATTTGTGTATTGGATAGCCCATGCGTGGTTCATTCTCCTTGCCAAAATGCAATCAGTTGCTTTGCATCATTCCTCATAAGCCACAGTTAGAATCTTTTGTTTTTCCAGAGAAGGATCTGAACCCTGACCCCACCACTGCTTTGAAATCTTCCCTGATACCCAAAGATGAAGCTTG